AAGAGGGAGGGAGGGGAAGGTAGGTTGAAATCGCGATTATTCTACCAAAGGATATACTTTAAAGAACTTTTGTGATTGCTTGGCTTTTATTGCAAAATCTTACGGACCTCTTTGATTAATACACTGTCTAGCTACGACTGAATTGATGCCTAAATCCCTATAAGCTTGTTAAGCTGTATATCTTTATACAAATGCAGCTCAATTTGAAGACAATGAGCAGTCATTACCTTGTTGTGACAGAAAATCTTCTAATGTAATTAATACGTGACCAATTAATTTGCATCTTATTTAAAATTTTAAAGTGATATGTCACCTTGTTATGTATTGTACAAACAGTAGCTAAGATGTACCTTGTTTTATATTTATCTGTTTTTTTTGAAGACTTTTGCCGTTCGCAGTGCCTATACTCACCATCTTCCTCCGGATAGTCAAAGTTTTGAAACAGCTTAAAGACTTCCAACCGATTTCCGACTAATTGTCATCAGTCGTATAAGAGGTTATTTAAGGGGCACTATACAGCTTGCATGAATCCTATTAATGACTTAGGAGAACTTTGATTTGATATTATTTAAGCATTAAGAAAATGTAGGTAAATTGCGTCTACCTGACCAAGAATATGTTCATTTCTTTCAACCAGCCTGTAAAAAAGTGTTTCATAATCCACATGCAACTGTGTGACGTAGAAATGCCAACGAAGCCAACTCTACCACCTTGATAAATGCACATCGTTTCCAACTGAATTACCACTCTCGGATTTGTAGAAATTGGAGATCAAGGGATTCAAAAAAAACATGGCTAAAATACAATTGAAAACATTGCTGTTTTTAAATACTGACCACTGATGTAATTTCTTATTCATTTGAGCATGACTCCTTCGTCGGGTGTAGACGGGTAATAGTAATCTGTTGGGAAACGAAATCAACCAGTTTACCCTGTCTGTAAGCCTGCAATGACTGTCGCTAAACAGGAGGCCTTTTTGGCTATGGCCGAAAGCAGACGAAGCCTCAACGTGGCATTAAGCGTAACAGCCGAGGCCACGAAGATTTGGCATACCCCACAATACCCCCTCTGTTGGCGCATCCGACTGTCTTGACGCCAACTTATGCAGAAGTGGGAATAATTACATTTGGATTTCCTCAGATACACCTCTAAAGGACTGCCTTGCTTTTTAAAGGTACTAAATAAAAAGGCTGTAATCGAAAATTACGTAAATGATTTGCCGTATTATGTTTGAGGGATTTCATGA